TGCCAAGGTTGGAGCAGAGCTGCACCCCCTGGACTATTGGGTGTTGGACACGGGCGCTGCTTGGACGATGACGCCGCGCAAGGACCTGCTGGACCACGTACGCGCTGCACCGATCAACGAGGTGTGCTCCGCCTCTGGACACGCGCTGAAGGTGGCTGGTGCGGGACGAGCTGCGTTTAAGGGAGCGGATGGCAAGCCGGTGGTGCTGCACGACGTTCTCCTCGTTCCTGAACTCAAGGCCAACCTCATCTCCCTCCGTAAGCTTGGCAAGGCTGGGGTGAGCACTAGCACGGATGGGGCACGCACTTACAAGGGGCAGCTGGGCAATCGGGTGCTTTGGGATCTGCACGAGAGCACGGACGTGTACAGATCTATGTGGCAGCTGCCGGCGTTGGCGTGGCATGGTGGGGGGCAGGCTGGAGAGGGGTCTGCATCGCAGGGGGAGTGCAACGCCGTTGGAGGGGTTGGTGTGAAAGTGTCGGCCAGATCTGGGGAGACGGATTGGGCAACGGCACACCGACGCTTGGGGCATGTGGCAATGCCCTTGTTGAAGCAGTTGGAGAAAGATGGAGCCGTTAAGGGTCTGAAACTGAACGGACAGCCACCTGATGAGAATTGTGAAATCTGTTTGCTCTCAAAGTTTACCCGTTTCCCCTTCCATAGCGTGACTGGCAGGAGCAAGAAGCCTTTAGAGTTGGTCCACATGGACTTGGTGGGGCCGCTGCCGGTTCAGGGGCACAAGGGGGAGCGGTACTTTCTGACCATAGTGGATGATTGGAGCAGGCTTATGTGGGCATATCCGCTGAAGCAGAAGGACCATGCCGCCTCTACGATACGGGAAGATTGGCTGCCATTCGTGGAGAAGCAAGCGGAGTGTGTGGTGAAGCGGATTAAGCGAAAAGTTCTGCCATTACGAAGTTATGGCTCGGACAGCGTTTGCCTAGTGTTGAAGTGCTAGCGTACTAGCGTTGACTCGGGTAGCATTCCGCCGTCGCACCGCGTAGAAACGGAATTCCAGGAAGGAAGGAATTCGCTTGAATCAAATTGACTATATCCAGGTACAAACAGAGAAGGAATAAATAGTTCTAGCTAGCAAGGACCTTGGGAATAAACCTGGGAACAACCAGGGATGATCCCAAATAATTCCAAGCAACAGAACCAACCTGGCTGGACAAAACAGCAGGTGGTAGGTTGGTAAACAACCTCTGGTTCTGTTTTTCCAACCTGGGAAAACAACAACCAGGTTCAGGTCCTAAAAACAGAACCTGTTTTGTCTTTGCCCAACCAGCCAAATGCTGGTTCCGCTGGTTTCCCCTGGCCCTGTAGCATGCAGATACAGACAAACAACATCCAACCTTCACCTAAATTGTACCCCTATAGTGCCTGCCCTGCTACACTATAGTCAACCAAACAAAACAGTACAATTTCGAGTTGGATAGAACTGAATCTGCGCAATCAAGTAAGTTGAACCGCAAAGCTTCCATCTTGGGTTCCTTTGCGAGCTCGTCCTTTCAGCTTGTACTGTTCATAGCGCGTACAATGTTGTGCCGAAGCGCACAATGCGCGAGTACCTGCAAATGCTTCAAGCGAAAATTGCGAAAGCAAACAAACACACGAACATTCCACTCACACCCAAATGCATTCGCACACGCATACTCGTACAAACAGATGGCAGGATGTCGTGCAATGTGAATTTGCACCCAATACCTGAGGTGACCTCCGTTGTTGCAACATTTCGTTTCTACGCGGTGCGACGGCGGAATGCTACCCGAATCAACGCTAGTACGCTAGCACTCCAACGCTAGGCAAACGCTGTCCGAGCCATAACTTCGTAATGGCAGAACTTTTCGCGAGGCAACTTGGTTCATTTTAAAGCCTTGGAGCGAGCTTCGATATAGAAAATTCTTAGCTTAATCCGATCGACGGTCTGCGCAATACGCTGCGCGACGTTCAAGGTACTCTTGCTGTTTTGACTAAGTCCCTCTTGATCCCTCTCTCTACAAACTCGGACCCGAGGATAGGGGCTGGTCTTATACCAGGCACCCAAGGACCCTTGGAGGTGACCCCGAGGAGAGGTTTTAAGTTTGATAAAGTTTCAATAGCTTGAGTTTATTAGGCCCTTACACCAACAGTCGGAACGCGGATATCGCACGATGTGAGAAGCGTGGTGAGCGGATCCCTACCGCACTGGCTCCATCTATCTCGGGGGAGGAGGTGGAGAGGTGTCGTCCTGGTGAGGTAGGCAACTCGTCGCGAGATGCATCGCGTGATTAGCAGTGCTGCTACCTGGGGGTCTGCTCGCTCGAGTAGGGGTAGAGGCTTTGACATCTTGGCGAGCTGTCCCGCTAGGAACTGAGCTGCGCCGCTATCAGGCCCCACGAAACTATCCAATAGCCGCACGCCGTCTTTAGAGAACGGCACTCCTGGCGGGAGGCGAGCTGTGTCGATTGTGCTTGAGCTCCAGGCCGCACACTTCTGTGGGTTATGCTCAAGGCCCAGGTGCGCTAACTTGGCCGTGAAATGTATGAATGCAGCTACAGTGCGGGCTGTGTCACCCAAGAAGGTGACGTCGTCCGCATATGCCAAGCAGAGCACGTCAGGGTGTGCTTCGGCTGTTTCACAAAGTGTGGCGTGTATCCCTGCTAGGAACAGTAGCGGCCCAAGTGGGTCTCCTTGGCGGACGCCGCGTTCACTTGTCAGTGGTTCGCTGTTGAAGTTGGAGACCAATAGCAGTTGCGACGGGTTACCGTACGTCAGTTTCACTAGCGGCAGCAGTGGCGAGAGGGCGGGTTCTTGTAACGCGTCGGCAATAGCGTTTCGCGAAATACTGTTGAACGCGTTTGAAATGCCGGCTTGCAGGACCAGGCTGTCCAGACGGGCATCCAAGAAAGCCCTGGCTGCGTGGATTACTGCCTCTGCTCCACCTGGCACTGCCACCCCGTACTGTAGTGGTAGAAAAAATTCGCGGATCGGTTCTCCCATGGCTAACAGGGCAGCCTAGGATGCCAGCCTCGTCAGACATTCGCCGATCGCGATTGGCCTAGCCCCTCCCCCCGGCTTGGCGAGAGCTACGAGTCGCGACGCCGTCAGCAAGTTTGCAACCGAGCCTGGCAATTTTCCTCCCAGCATGGTGTTAACCAAGGCGCGCAGATGGGTGCTGACCATTGCGTTGGTGATCGCCGCGTCGCGCAGATGCTCGAATGTCATTCCTGACGGTCCGGCTCCGACCCCATTCTCGCATCTTCCCAAAAAATTTGGGAAGTCAGGGTTGGGGATTGACAGCTTTGACCATTGTGGCTCGGGCCACGTCACTGCCTCGTGTGCAGCAGGTGGGTGCTTTTGGCGCAGCTCCTCCATATTTCCGGGCTGGGTGTGCAGACGGGCGTCGACTCCAGGGCTAGCACGGCTCGGCGCAGACTGCCACGTTTCGCTAGGCTCTCTGCACGGCTGATGACTCCAGTCGCATCTGGCTGGTGTCGTGGCGGTGGCGGTGTGTTGACTGCGTTCAACGCGTCCTGGTACAACTGCTCCCATTCACCACGCTGGAAAGCTCGGAGCCGGCCCTTGACACTCGGCCAGTTCGGTCGTTGTGGCGAGGTCTGGCGAAGTGTCAGGCGCGGGAGAAACAGCAGCAGGCGCCATCCCGTTGAAGAAGACGAGTCAAACGACCCATCTTATAGGGAAGAAGCCCTTCCCGAGAGCGAGGACGAGGAGACGGAGGAGGAAGGAAAGGTGAGGGAAGGACCAAGGAGAAAGGAAGCGGTAGTAGGGCAGACAGACTTGCAAGTCCCACAATGCTCAACCACCGTCCGATGCCGATCGGACGAGTGCAAATCCAACCTCGAGCCCTCCGATGAGGTCGAGCCACGCTGGGAGAAATCAAACCGCCAATGCCGGTACCGCGACTCGCTCTTCAGCACCAATTCCCCGCTACTTTTCACCCGACGAATTTTGATGGCGCCTGCTGCTGGATTCAGGGGTGATTCACGTCGGGCGGAAGCAGGTGAAACCCCGCTACTTTTTACCTGACGAGTTTTGATTTCTCCCAGCGCGGCTCGACCTCATCGGAGGACTCGAGGTTGGATTTGAACTCGTCCGATCGGCATCGGACGGTGGTTGAGCATTGTGGGACTTGCAAGTCTGTCTGCCCTACTACCGCTTCCCTTCTCCTTGGTCCTTCCCCCACCTTTCCTTCCTCCTCCGTCTCCTCGTCCTCGCTCTCGGGAAGGGCTTCTTCCCTATGAGATGGGTCGTTTGACTCGTCTTCTTCAACGGGATGGCGCCTGCTGCTGTTTCTCCCGCGCCTGACACTTCGCCAGACCTCGCCACAACGACCGAACTGGCCGAGTGTCAAGGGCCGGCTCCGAGCTTTCCAGCGTGGTGAATGGGAGCAGTTGTACCATCGCTTCGTCGAGCCGTCGGCGTCTGCCCCTGCTGGGGGTGTTGCTGATCCCCCTGCATCTGTCCCTGGCGCCCCTGTTGCACCGCCCGCTTCTGTCCCCGGCGTGCCTGCTCCGGCCTCTGCTTCGTCACCGAAGGCGGCGTCTGCCACCACTGGCGGACCGGCTCCGTCGGTTGCGCCCTTGGCGGCGGGTCAGTCCGCGCCTACTGTGGCGCCGATGGCCCCAGCAGGTCAGCCGTCACGCCCTCCGTCACCCGACCGTCGCCCGTCTCGCCCCCATTCCCCCGCGCCCCACCAGGAGCGCAAGTCGTCTCTTCGCCGGTGTGAATCTCCACGGCGTTACCAGCAACAGTCGCACTGGCCTGCTCACCCCGGTGGTCAGGGGGACTGGAGGGGTCTCCGCGGGCGCGGCGGTGGTGGGGGGTACCGCCCGTCTGTGACGATGGCGTATCTTCAGTGGGAAATGTCGAGGGCGGTACGTGAGGAGAGGGCGGCGCAGAGCCAGAGCAGTTCGATGCGCACCTCGCCAGCACATGAGGCTCCTCGCCAGGCTGTGCTCCCCTTGAGTCCACCTCCTGTCGCTGCACCCCCATCTCAGGTTCACGTCCCGCCGGCTCCTTTTCCTGCTGTTTCGGCACCTGTTCCTGGATCTCGTCTCCATCTGCCGCCGGTTCCGCCTGTTGCGGGGATGGAGTTTGTGGCCGCGGGTGGTGGCGCGGCGGCGGCTCAGTATGCTCTCCAAGTTGCTGCCGATGAGCCGCTTCAGTTCCTGGCTGAGGCACTCCAGCCTCCGCAGACCCATGTTCCCGAGGCGACACTCGGCCAGCTCCACCGCCTCGCGGACAGTCTCCACGCGTTGCTGCTGATTCAGGTGCTTTCTCATTCGTCCTTCGCCGTGATTCCTCCTGAGACTTTCCGTGGCCGCCATCGTGAAACTTGCCTGGACGCGGCAGACCAGCTCGCAGCGCTGCTGGCGCACGTGCTGGCTGCGCTCGCGGAGGGTGGCGCTGCTGCTGCGGGACAGCTTGACGAAGCTGTCCGGGGCTTGAGGCGGCACTTGCGCGCAGGATCTGGAGCTGTGGCAATCGGCGCAAGCACGCTTGTGGTCCGGGAGCTGTGGCGCTTCCTGACGGGCGTTCTTCACGCCCTTGGAGCTCACCGCATGTAGACGCGGGCTCCGGTTGCCCCAGTGATGTCTTGCTTGTCTAGTTTCTTATAGGAACCGCCATTGCATGTATGTCCTTGCTTAATGTCACTTGTGTGTGTTAGCTCTTGCCGCCCCTCACGCGCGGCCGAAGGCCGCGCCGTCGAGAGTCGGCCGCCGCAGGCGGCCGGCGCAAGCCGCTTGGTTAGGAGAGAAAATGAACACTGAAATGAATAATGAGGCTTAAGGACCTGGTCCTAGGCCTTTATACTAGGCTGGAGAGGGCTGCAGAGGCTAAGGACTAGACCTTTCTCTTACTCTCTCTCCCTCCCTCTCTCTCTCTCTCTCTCTCTCTCTCTCTCTCTCTCTCTCTCTCTCTCTCTTGAACGGTCCTTTGTATTGATAATAAGGGCAGCTACAGACATGCATATTCTAGGGAAGGATTCAAAATAGCACGAAGACAAGCAAGCAAACACACCCCCCCTATTCTCTTCCCCCGCCCCTTTCCCTCTAAGGTGCCTCTAGTGTTGTGAAGCAGCCACCGGGGTTCATCTCCCCTCCTGGTCCCCTAGTGGGGGGTTCTCTGCTCGTGCTGCCAGGTTCAGCTTTGTGAGATAGCTCACTGCTTGTGCTCTCTGGAGGGTGATAGACCAGCGCTGCCGGAACTGATGGAGCATCTTCGCGGCCTGATAGGTAGATGGGTCCGCATTGAAGAATTTCAGTGCAGCTTTATCTGCCAGTTTTTCAGGAAGGTGGGCACCTCGTCGCAGGGGCAGCCGTAGGTTTCTACTGCCAACGGGACAAACCCAGCAAACTCTGCCCTGCCGAGGTATAGGCCTATCTTTTTATCTGCTGCCTCCCGTGCTGCCCAGCCCCTCCCCTTCCTTGCGGTTTCATCCCGTTTGCTGATGGGATGTGTGATTGTAATATCTGCCAGCCACACTGTCCCCGAGCTCCCATCCCTGAAGGCCAAGTCGGCCTTCTTGTTGTCCACCGGGCTGAAGGCAGTGCACTCTTTGTGCACATCAAATCCTGCATCCTGCGCCATGTGAATGCACTCACCCCGTAGCTCGTCATGAGTGTTGGTCCGGCCGTGCCCAGTACCGCACCGCAGCAAGTGATTTTCGGCAGCCTCTTATCCAGAATGGGGACTCGTTTGCTGCAGTCATAGCAGTCGGGCACAGAGAGCGGCATGCCGAGCCGGAACTGTAGGGCGAACGTGAAGTGGCAGAGGTAAAACCGTAGGGCTGGCATGTAGGGGATCGCCATGAGCCAGTCCCCTGCCCCATAGCCTGTGAGGGACATGAGGCGCTGGGTGTGGCCCAGCAGTGGGTTCAGCTCCATCTGCCTGGATGGAGTGATCTGGGCGGCACTCCGGCCCCCTTGGACTAAGAGAGCGAGGCAGTGCTGCAGTTGGCCTTTGGGTTTTGCCTGCTCCGCTGAGATAAGATCCCTCGCCTCCTGCGTGAGGCTGCTCCTGCGGTCCTGGATCCACTGCTGTAGTTCGTTGGGGCTGTGGTCTGCTGCTTCGGGTCTCTCTCTCTCTAATGGTCCGTTTATTGATATAGCCAAAGGGTACATTCATGCATAGCTTTTGCTAGGATGGTAAGGTAAACAAGCCAACAAATAACAAACAATACACAACCATGTTTCTACACCTCCATAAGAGGCTCCAGCACAGCACAGCAGTCCCCAAGGTGGAGCTCGGACTGCACCCCCCCTACGGGAGGATTTTCAGCTACGGCCGCCTGGGAGGACTTGATTAAGTATCCCACTGACTGTGCTCTTTGCAGAGCCACGGACCAGCGCTGCCTGAAGAGGTGTAGGAACCTCCTTGCGTGATGAGAGGTGGGTTGGGCGTTGACATGACTCCTAGCAGCTGTGTCCGCCAGTAACTTCAGAAATTTTGGGACCTCCGCGCATGGGCAGCCGTATGTCTCAACTGCAAGGGGGAAAAAGCCGACCGAATCAGGCCGGTTTGCGTAGTGGCTGATTTTCTTCGCAGCTTGCTCTCTTGCTGCCCATCCCCTCCCCTTAGTAGCGTTGGGATCACGAGTGCTAATGGGATCTGTAATGGTGACATCACAGGCGTATACTGCCCCCGAGCTCCTATCTCGCATGGTGAAGTCGGCGGTTTGTTCTTCAATAGGGCAGTACGCAGCTGATTCACTGTGAACTATGAAGCCGGCATCTTCCGCCATAGTAATACATGCGTCCCGCAGTTCGTTATGAGTGTTGATTCTGTGCTTGCCTGTCCCGCAGCGGAATAAGTGGTTTGGCAGCCGTGGGTCCTTGATCTCAACATGCTTAGAGGAGTCACAGTATTTGGGAGTAGAGAAGGGAAGCCCAATTTTGAAGCGGACAGCATTGGCAAAGTGTTCTGGACCTACGCAGCGGGTATGCTCTATTGGGATTGCCGTGAGCCAGTCCCCCGTGCCCTAGCCAGTTAGAGAGAAAAACCGTTGGGTATGGCCTGACAGGGGATTCAGCCTCATGAGCCACACTGCCTGTACTTGCGCGGCATATCTGCCCCCTGCACTCTCACCCTGTGCTCATGCTGCAGCTTTAAATCTGATGGCTCGCCGAGCAGGTTACCTGGTCAACCTAGTAGACCACCAAGTGCACTGGTTGACCACCAAGTGCCTCTGGTCCACCACCCAGGTCCACTTCTAGTCGACCACAGCTCCCGTCGAGCTACCCCCTGGTCGACGGACCCCTCCGTCGACCAGAACTGTCTGCTGTTGTCGCGAACCCTATACCCTGCAGCTCGACGAAGCCCGTCGAGCAGCTCCCTCACTCCGAACAATCGGCTGCTTCTTCCGTGCACCTGACCAAGTCGTCGGCGTTGCCCAAGCGAGGGCAGTGCCAACACTCCATTTCCGTGAACATTGACTTTGTTGGCTTGGCTGTTGCCTGCCCCTCTGCTGGGGGAGATGTTTGGCTGCCTCTCCTCCTCTTTGCACGGTCAGCTCGACTTGAGAGTCAGCTGGAACCCTGGTGAATAGGAGCGAAAGGGGATGGAAAGGGGTCAAAAGGTTGAAGAGGGTGAAAGGAGGTGAGGCGAAGCAACAGGAGCACAGGTAAAACCATTAATCAGCAAACACCTATAGTAAGGGACTGCTAAGTAATGGTAACAAGTGGATGGAATGGAACAAACAGTGTCAAGGAAGGTAACGGCCGTGCAAACCCATAGAACCAGAAACAAACAGCGTACATGTGACAAAGAAATATGATACTCCACCAACAACCCCCCATACACCCTCGAAAGCCCTAGAACCCTCCAGAACCGCACTCATTGCAGTTTCTGAGCAGCGTCATAAGGCCTGAGCCCTTCCACCTCCTCGCCACTGACTCTTAAAATCACGTTCCTGGGAGCCACAACCGCCTAGTCTACTGAGCTGGCTCCTCTTAAACCCTCCCCAAACCACCAGCTGCAGCAGGTGGCGGCGCTGGTGTCACCACTTGGTGAGGGAATGGCGGGGAGGGGGGGAGAGACACTTCGGGACCTAAGGAACAGACTCCTCGAGGAAGCACGGGAACTGCTAAGGGAGACGGGGGACAACAGAAGAGGGAAGGGCCGCCTACAGGAGCAACTGTCAAAACACATCAACCTTAGACGCGCGGCAGAGTTGGTAGGCGACACTCGGATGGACAAGCCCAGGGAAGACAACGGCTATGTAATCCGACTGATTAGCCTACAGGGGGTGGGGGCGGGGGACTGGCTTCATGCCATCCCCACTCGGGCAGACCTGACGTTCTCGCCGGGACAGTTTGCTATAGCCCTGGGCTTCCGCCTGGGATTGACTCTGTCGGTGACCGACAACTGCCCATACCAGGGGGAGCGGGGGAAGATTGGGGACCTGAGCCTACCAAACCACCTGCTGCGGTGTGGGGAAGGGAAGGAGAGGACAAACACACACAACACCCTAGTGTATGCAGCGCTGCGCATGCCCAGGGAAGCTGACTACCTCACCCTGCATGAGACCACGGTCTACTCGCAACCAGTCAATACCCAAGAGAGCGGACCTGGCCATCAAGGACAAGGAGTCGGCCGAGACGTACGTAACCGACGTCACGGTGACCGATCCCATACTGCAGCGCCGCGACACCAGGGCGGTGAAGCTGCCTGGCTGGGCGGCGGAGGACGCAGCGAGAGGGAAGAGGGGAATGTATGAGGGCCGCGCGGATTTCGTGGGGGTGTTCGGGCTTGCAGTGGAGACGTATGGGGCCCTGGCACGCGACACACTGCGGTTTCTTCGGCTCTTGGGCAGACAGGCGGCTAAAAGCCTCATCAGCAGGCTTGTCGACCTGGGCGTGGCGTCGGGGCGGATGCAGGCACACCCGCCAACAGACACCTCGAACGACGTGACCACCATTTTGTTGGTCAGGTCGAGCACCTCCCAGCTCGTACTCTCCGGCGACACGCCCAGGTGAAGCCCCCAGTGAGCCTTCGGCGCCAGTTTCTCACCGCGCTGTTGCTCAGCTTAACTCTGAGATGCCACATTCTTTTGACACATCGGTGGACGAATCCTCGACCGTTGCTTCCGACCGTCTGTCTGACGATCTGCTGACGTCACCTAACGCGGCAACTCCGCCAGTCAACCGTTTATCAGACGACCTCCTGTGCTCCGTCCTCCGTCTAGCTTCCGCCGACGACTCTCCCCCGTTACGTCTCTCGCTTGTCTGCAAGCGATGGCTTGTCTTTTCAGACATCCATTCCCTCCACCTTCTTTGCTTCTATCAGCGCTCGAAAGCCACCTTCTCCGCGCAAAAGCGTCAGCTGCAATGTTAGCGGAAGCAGCAGCAGCAGCAGTACGATAAACAGCACCGCCAGAAACAGCAGCAGCACCAGCAGCAACACGGGAACCGTTCCCAACAATTCCAGAAACAACAATAATTCAAGATTCAACTACAGCATCCAAGGACGCCCCGATAGAGTCGCTTACCTCCTAAAATCCCTTTCCAGGTTCTGCGGAGATAACTTAATCATGGGGAGCTAAACTACGGGCTAGGCACGAGTAGGA